CCCCCCCCCACTTCTGGAAATTCCAATTTTCTTCCATAAAAACTCTCTAATATTTTTCTGTCTCTGTCTGACCCCCCCCATCCCTCGGAAATTCTGGAACTATGCATCCTCAAAAAATATAGTTGGAAAAAATCATAAAAATTCTGGGTCTTACCATCAGGCTCAGATAACTGCATTGTTCCCGATTTGGCCACTTCATCAAATTTGGCATAAATTAATGATAATCTAGAAAGTAATTAAAAATTATGTTTTATAATTCTACATCAATAACATGATCAGGCTGGTATTTCAGTGTTCTAGACAGTCAGACCAAACAAAAATAGGGTAGAGTAATAAGTGATTCAGTTTAATCCCTCAAAAAGTTCTAAGTCTAAACCTACTAATGGTTTATCATAAATCCTGCAYTCTGATTGGCTAAGCTACTAGTGGTCTATTAGTGAGAGACCACTAGTAGCAAAAAATTGAGGTTTTGAAAACCAAAGCAATGGTGGCTGACAATAGTGTTTTCAACCTAATTTCAAAATTGTTTGTATCTGTCTAAAATAATTAGACCTCTAAGAGTCAATAGCCCATTGTGCCTTGTGGGCTATTGACTTGTATTTTGTTCAGGATTCAGGTATAAATTGTTAATTAGTGTATCAGACCAAAGATCAAGAGAGAGGGGCTGGTTGGGATATACCCCACCTCCTCCCAGTAAAGTCTTAAAATGGCCACTTAATAGAGGTAATAGTATACAACTCCAGATGCAGTATGTTTTGAGACTTCATTCCATCAATTTTCCAGAGGTCTAAGTAAGTAAATCTTTAATTGACAAAAGCCAAAAAACCAAACAGAAGTTGTGGAGATAACAGGAATATTAAAATGTGCTCTAACAGAAAAGAAAAAGAAAATGGCGAATTTGGCACCCTGACTAACCTTGAGGATGGTATTCCTTTCTTACTAAGGTCTATTCTAACTTTTTCTCCAACATGCCGATAGATTTCTACTAGTGTTTCAATAGCTCTTTCCCTTACTTGACTGTTAGGATCACCAAGAAGTTTGCAAATGTAAGGTACAAACTTTGATACTGTTATGTGTGAGGCACCAAAACTGGAAGAAAATAAATAAAAAAACAACAAATATTTAGTCACAGCCACCAACTGTTGAATAGTAACAGCTACGAAATTGATAACTATTTTAATCCAGATACCATTGGCCCTTGCAGTTTGGGCATAAAATTGTTTTCATTTTAGATAGCTTTTTTTAGCGGCTTCATGCACATGAAAAGACACATTGGTCTTACCTTGTTAATGTTCTCACAAGACAGTGTAATACTTCTTCTCTTACTCTCCAAGCCTTGTGACTAAATGCAGGGACCAAATGTTCAAGGACATGCTGTGAAAACAATATGTAATTTAACTAACTTTCATTTTGTATCCCTACCAAAAGGCATATCTGTTATTCTGATGTAACATTTTCTTTTAATAATGGAAGTAATTTTGTTCATTTCCAAATATTAATCAAAATTTAAAAATTATTAACAGTGCTCATCTCTATTTCAAATACGTTTTAAGCAAGAAAATGGCAGTTTGCTGCCCAATTAGTCTCTATTTCAACATCAACCTCCCATATTACACTATAATCAGCCAATATTCATATACTATGAGGATGCAAAAAACTTGGGAAAAAAACTGGTAAAGGAACAGCTATCTATCTTTCACAATAATGTTTTTTTTCGATTTCACTTCTTTTTTTTCAACACAGAAAATATTGTCATCAACTAGGATTATCTTTGTTAATAAATAAAAGCTATAATTATGGTAAATACCTGTGGTGTTGAAACAGGGTACATAAACTTCTGGATTAAATCTTGCGCATGATCCCTGACCTGTTAAAAAGTTACCATTAAACAAAAAACTAGAAGCAAATTTATACAGAGTATTGAGAAAAGGAGAAGTTCATGCTTAAAAGGAAGTTCAACTGATTAAGACAGCTTGTTTTTTTCTGATTGAGTAGAAGTTAAGAGGATCTTCATTCATCTGATTGGTTGAACTCTGTATAAGCTTTCAAAATTTACAAAAGTGAAAGCGGATTGTCAGTTATAAACTGATACTTTTATTTGTACATTCAATTAATTTCAAAAAATTTCACATTGCACCACAAGAAAATCACAAGAGAAAATATATTGGGTATGTTTTCCAGTCTATATTTTTCATTCATTGCAAGCATTTTCTGAAACAACCTAAACAATATCACACTCTGAATGTACAGTACAGCCCAGAGACATGTACATTTATTGTGGGTTTTTTTTGCACTAGCAGATTGCATCAAATGCTCACATTCTGCTCTCAATTTCTTTGCACTTTTCTTTATTATTGTTTGCGATTTGATCACAAATATATGACATCGTAATTATTACTGTGTATACAAATATCCTTTGATTGGTAGCGTAGGATACACGTGGATGTTTAGCTTTACAGTATATAACCGATGATAGTGATCTGATTACTGATGCTGAACTTATTGCTACATACATTATATAGCACTGGTTCAAAAGCCAATTTTATCTCAGACTAATAGTTTAGGCTTTATGGCCTATAATATTTACTTAATATACAACTAAAATCTCAAACCTGTTGTTTGCTGTCCCCAAGTCTTTCAGTAATTGCAGGAACGACTGTAAGAACAAAAAATACCAATGTTATCTTTAAGATCAGTAGCTTATCAAAGAATGAAGGTTATCTACAAGAATGTACTTCATGACTGGGGCCACCCAAGGAAAACTAGCCATCATTTCCCCTTAACTATTGTACATCATATACTCTATGTACGTAACATGAAATGACAGTTGTCACACATAAATGGTGAGATCTAGAAGGATAGTTATCTATTAGGTACTGTACTTTAAATTTGTCATACATTATAAGTGCAATCTTGAATGAAAGACTGATAATTTAAAATTTTTAAAGAAATATATTAAAAATTTTTAATATATTATTCAAGTTCTAATCTTTGTAGCAATAACATATACTTGAAACTACAATCATAGGTAGACTGATTACACAAAGACATAAAATAAGCATTAAACACTGTATAACACTAGTATGGGATATTGATGAATGATATGTCAACTAATGAACACTTAACAATTTTGTTTTTTATTCCTTTGATTCTTTTGGAATTATGATACTAAATTCAATGATTCATGTGCTTTGGATGACACTGGTTGTGGATCCATGGGTGGCATATATATGGTGAGCATGAACATATACTGTATGCTACTATGAGAACTGCATAAAGGGTTGTAAAGTGATGATGACCATGATTCTAGACAGAGATAAGGAAGTTATTAAAATAACTGTCTGTCTTCCATGCCCTTGTATATTTAGAGGACTGGGATATGTTGGTGGCAGAGTGGCGAGTGTACAGTACAGTGTATATCAAGTATTTTAACAAACTCATGTAATAAAGTGATGATGACAATGACAATTTTAGTCAAAGATAAGGAAGTTATTAAAATGAATGTCTGTCTTCGATGCCCATGTACTATACATTTTGGATAAAGATCTGGGATGCATGGGTGGTATAGTGGTTTTGCATGTCACTTATATCCACTGGGGTTTTATTATCAGACTGTACATAAATATAATGAATTATTTGCTAATTATAACAATATCCTAGGTACTACAGTTTCTCTCTCCACAAAAAGTAACATTGCTATGTTTGGTTTTCAAATTATCACATTCAAAAAATAATTTTTCTTCATCTATCAACTCTGTATATTACTTTCATGATTGTATATACCTAGATTAATAATATAGGTCATTCTTATATAATGCATTTCATTTTCTCAATGCGCTTTACAATGACTATTTTCTGAGGACTTGAGGGACAGCTATTACGGCGCAAGTTGCAGCCATGCAGATTACAATCACGAGTGTGTTAGTAATTAATGCCCCCGAGGTCTGGCTGTTTAACTGGGCGACAATCCCCTACTCTTTCACGAAGAATACAATAGTATCTTTAATGTCCACTTTATTTATATGGGGTTAGAGAGTGTTAGCAAATCATTAATAATAATGCAAACCCAAGTCACTGATTTATTAATAGGGAAAAACCAGCAGAAGTAACCCAATTATTCACATACACAAGAATACAATGTATCACTGTTATTACAATGTTGTGATTTGCTATCCTGAGAAACTAAAGCTGTGTTTTTGAGACTGGATGTTATGACATTTCCCCTCACCTACCCCTCTAGTATCACAATATAATTCGTAAGGGGTGGAGGGTGGGTATCTGAAAGTTTTTTCTGTCAAAATATAATATACAAAACCCTCTGTAGGATGGATTACAGATAATTTAATGCATGAGTAATAATAATAATAATAATGATATTTATTTAGACACGATATTGATATTACAGTTCTGCTGATGTGGTTGTGTATCATTTGTATCCCCTCCCCTCCCCTCCCCATTTGATTTTTGTATATCCAAAATCCAAATTTATTTCCGAATAAGTATAGAGCAAGGTCCAGCAAGATGGACTTTTGGTATATCTAAAATTCAAGCAGCAACCAAGCCTTTTAAAATGGAAACTTATGATGTAAATCGGATTTCAGAGCTTCTACATTTCAAAATTTCTGGGGACATGTCCCCAGTCCCCCTAACATAAAAGGGGTCTTACAACCCCTTTCTTGTCATGAATACTTGAAAGTAAACCAACCACCTACTTGAAATTGTCAGACGATCATATGATTCGTGCAAGTATGAAAAAAGTATTGTGCAAGGACATGATCTGTTTACAAAAATATCTTGCAACTTGTGAAGATATACATGTAGGAGAAAAAATGGAGCACTCCAACAAAAATTGTGCCCTCCCCCCCCCCTCCCCCAATCAAAAATCAAATGGTCAGTCCCTAATACAATAAATAGAGCCTTCATGCACAAGTCTCACTAAGTTTTCAAGTGAGTATTTGTTGGCCCATTATTTAATTTGCTAATTTATGTTATATATTACATGTATAATTATTTGCTAGCTAGACAGATTAAGATACAAAAGTATCACCTGTCCTATATATATTTATCATGGATACCATAACAGCATGATTACCTACTCTTAGTTCTACCAAAAAGTAATTATGGGCATACGTTGGGGTAATATATTTAGTGGTGCAATATTCAAAATAAAAGTCGTCCACTGATAGCATAATAAAACACTTCACGTGCTGTTAACATGTTCTCTAGGGAAAAAGTCTTTGTTCAAGAGAAAATCACATACCTTTGCTAATCAGAAAGACAACAATATAATACTTGTTTATGGCTTCACACAATGCATAACCAGTATTTTATTAATAAATTATGGTCATAGCTTTCTCCAAGATGAAATTTGAATTCATATTTAATGAGATCTTGAGTGAAGTCTTTAATTTAGTATTGCATTGTAATTTTGACTATTTTTCTGGTCTTTATAGTTCTCCTAGTTCAGAAAGTAATATTCGGTGTTCACAGCACTCAAAAGAATCATTCCTTGCAGTGGCTACAATTTTTTTAAGTGAGAATTTTTTAGAGCAGAATTACAGAGGGTCCAAACTACCTTCCCCTATGATACATTAATTTTTACATTGTAATACAATAACAAAAAGACGATTTACAATACGAATCAACTTCGATCAATTTTACGCAAGCTGTTATTACGTCTATTTAGAACTCATCACTCCTTAGATAAACAACCTTTTCAAAGTATATTCGCCTTTAATGCATGTAAACACACTCTTAGTTAGACGCAATTTCTTTTTGTCGAGAAGAAGTTAATACCTGGTAGAAGACTATTCTTGAATCCAGGGCCAATCTTATCGACGATCTGATGTAAAATGTCAAGCCCGCTAAGGCTCACCTGAAATGCAAAGAAATCTCAATAAACCTACTTGAGCTAACTTTATTTGAGTTTGTCAAAACGGGGTATAACTTTGGTTACAAAGTCAAGAAAATATATCGACATTTGCATAATATGAGACGGGTTTTTTACTTGGCGAAATCTTAATGTCTAGAGCGCAATCAAAATACTCCCAATTTTTTTAGTCAAATTCTAATTGCTTAAGCTGTTATTTTATTCTTTTCCTCGCCATTTAATACACCTTTTATGAAATAAACCTAAAATTTTTTATCAAATATTCTGTTTATAACGAGCCGGTCTTTTACGCCTTTGAGCCAAATACTGAGCACTCTTCACATGGTAAAAGATTTTGCTGAGCATCTACCTTCTTCAGTAATCAGACAGATTCTATAAATCAATAAAAATTTAACGATTTTATTCTCACCCTAAAGTTGCTGCTGTTCACCCATGCTATCAATCCATCTATTAGTTTGTCGTAACCTCCAAACTCGATGTCGTTGGAAGGTTCGCTAAGGTAGTTGGACAACTCCTCGGCAGCTTTGAGTCTCTTTTGAGTGTCTTGCGACCACACTGACGCGAGAATATCTTCCAAAAAGGGTATGTCTTTCATACTTGGTCGTATTTATAGAGTACTTCACAATAAAAAGCTAATAACAAGATTCCAATGCCTTCGAGAAGAAGTCGAGTTTAGAACTCGACTCCAAAACACATGCCTTAACAAGGCTCGTTAAGTTAGCCAACAATGCTATTTTGGCTGCTCCAGAAAAATAATCCAAGCCATCCACGACCTCTGAGATTCTTCAACAATAGTTTAGAGCTGGAAAAAATTGTCTCGTATCGTAAAAGACGACTCCAAAGGGTTCAAAATTAACCACATTGAACTTGAAGCTCTGTAGCCGCCATTTTTGTTCCAACGAAACGAAGTACCAGAACGAGGCTTTATACGATGACGTCACCGGAGCAGAGGATGGACCAATATTGAACATATTGTAGAGGAATCGTCAAAAATACCTTTGAAAAAATCTCTACTCCTAAGTAGACCCATAAATTTAAAAGAAAATTATAACACGCGCATTAGAGATCGGAACTGCGTGGGAGCGAGAGGCGAAAATTTCAATTAAATTAGTCAAAATCAAATGCGGCGGCCTTCAAAAAAACACCTCATGAAATCCATGAGTAAGTAAACATTTTATCATAATAGCACAATTTCCATTCTATTTTTGATATTTTTTAATAAACCACATCAATATACATAATTTAAACATCAAAAAAGGTATTTCCGGCCCTTTGAAAACATTGAATGGAATGAATGGTTTTGAAATACTAAAAATAACACACACACAAACATGGGCCAATACTAATATTTGAAGCTAAGAAATTATTGATAAATTTATTTTATTCTAAATACAAAAGACAGCCTTCGTCGAAGTAGCAGGAGTATTTTCCACAGGTATCCGTTACGGGAGGAGGCGCCTCAACTCTGAATTTTATCGTTGACTCTGAAAAAAAAATCAGGTAAAATATTAAAACAGGACGAACGAGAATGACCAGAGACGTAGTTCAAACGACGCATCTCATTGGGAGAATTGTTCGCTTGTGATCATAAAATTTTACCCTTGAATTGAATTACATTTGACAATTTGAATTATGTGCGACTAAAATCGAATCAATATATTCTGCATATATTTGACTGAGCCAGTCAATTCAGCTCCGAGTGCATGCAGACTGTAATGAATTACAGTTCGCGTTCGAAGTACGTCAAATTCTAGCAACGAATACTCTATCTTACAGTTCCGTTCAGTGACCACTGACAAATAATAGTTTCATGTCGAGGTTTCAGTTTCCGCGCATAGCAAAACTATAGCTTATCATGCGCGACAACTCCAGCCTCGGCTTCCATCTATTATTCGTGGTCAATGAACGCAACTGTAAAATGAAGTAATAGGCTCTCACTTCGGCTGATGCGCAGCGGAAGCTAGCATGAACTACAGGCTTGATTTTGTTTGTAGCTTGTAATTTCCCCTCTGCCTTTAAAACATTTTTATCGTGGCTTTTAAAATTGTGAACGTTAATCGACCGCAGACTGTAATCGTTTGTCCTATCACAAACTATAATCCTACTAATGGCAATTTTTCTTTCCTTTCCTTTTTTTCCACGTACGCATATAGAAAGTGTTCATTACTTGATCTTCCATTTCCTGATCGTTAAGTGATATGATGTCTGACAATGACAATAAGCGCGGCAGCTATACGAAAAGCCTTGCGGTAAATATCTAAATGAACGAATACGATAAGGCATTTTTAAACAAACGGTATTCAATCTATCGTGTGAACAGACTGTCTTTCTTCTTGGCCTTCTTCTGTCGACTGGCTATATTAAATGTACTTGAAGGCTGTATCCAGGGGTCTACTGATAAAGTGCTTGCGACCCGGCTGGCCCTCTTCCAAATGCCATTGGCAATATTAATTCTCAGTGGATTTGTACCGTGCATGTGTTTTGGAGGGAAGGGACGTTAAGGATCATTTGTTGATAATTCATTGAGGGCGTGATTCCGCCTCTTATCCCTCATGAGGGTCCTCTTATCCCTCATGAGGGTCCTGGATACGCCCATGTATTTTTGTACCTGTGTCATTTGAATTTGAATTTCAGCCAAATATCGTATTCTTCTTCTCACAAGACCAACACGTGCAGACATATAGGGTCAACAACAACACTGGCAATAGTATGATAATACGTTTAGAATTACTTTTTATCGGGTTCATTTCATCGCTGTTCTTTCTTTCAGAATGGGGTCTTGAGGACAACAATTTCATATCTTCTTCTGTTGGTGTCCTATAATTACATGCATGAGAAGGAAAATAAATCAACGAAAAGGCGAAGAACACTTAAAAAACTTTTTTGGTTGGAGGACGGAACTTGCGCAAAAACGCCGATTATGTTGCGTAGTCTACATGACTTTCAAGTGTATTTTTATCGAGAAACAGGCCTTTGAATGAAGTGGCCTGTGAACCTCGTGTAAACTGATCAAACAGTGAGGGCGTATCGGCATGCGGGTGCTGTGAAAAGCTTTGTGTTCATATGACGAGACCGTCCAGTCAAAGACATGCAGCCATTGGACGGAACAGCTGTAGTGCAGCCTTCGCCCTGCTCATTTCAAATCTACTCTAAGTATTTACCAGGTATTAACGAACAATCCAGTTTTCTCCTTTTGAAATATATTCATACCATCACCCATCTGAAAATGCAACCATTATGATTAATACTAGTTACGTATGAAATTAAAAATATGGTTAAATTACTAATGTCTAGATCTGTCCAGCAATTCCAAATTGCCACCGAGTCAGAACAGCCACGTACCGTGATTTGCCACATAAGTTGTATATCACTACGAGCTCTAACGTCCCACCTTACTGTATCCTTTAAGAGATGAAAATAAAAGCAAAAAATAAAAATGTAACTGAAGTAAATATAAAAACGTAACTGGTTCAAGCTATTCACATTCATTATTCAGTGGCGGATCTAGGGGTGGGTTTTGGGGGTTGCAACCCCCCCTATGAGAGCCATCGTGATTTATTATTATTATTATTATTATCATTATTTTCATGACAACACCAACAGCATCGCGAGTTTTATTCAAACAGGGGTGCCGAACAAATTTCGCTCGCTTTTTTTCCCTATACGCCGTGTGTGGGACCTGAAACAACCATGCTCGCCTGCAGCAAGATAATCATTTTCATAAGACCTACTTCCGTTTGGGAACCCTGTGCTACTTTCCCGCCAAACAAGTACCTCAATCAAAGCTACAACCTCCCCTTTGAAAAAATCCTGGATCCGCCCCTGTTATTTCAGTGAACCTTTCAGTGAATTACGACTGATTTATAGAAAATAATTTGTTCTCGTCACAGACGAACGAGAAAAAAATTGTGATGACGATATCGATTTCACATTAATACCCCTTACAGTCCATGTTAGTTTAAAGATGCGAGCATAGGTTGGGCGTCAGTATGTTTTCCCATTTCAAACCATGTCATCTATCATAGGGTACTATTTCTTTCTTTAAACGGTTACGCATCAAGCAGTTAGTAGAATAATGACTAGTTAGCTTGCGGGTAGTTCAAACGATCGGGAGAACCTCAGGTCAATTGAAAGCAAAAGTTCGATCTTTTCTGAAATTATGCACGCGCGATCGACCTGCCATGATTTTTTTCGAAAACTGAATGGCTCCATTGGGGTCGACGTAAAGGGGCAGTATGGGAGAATGCAGACTGGATCGATCTAGGGGCGGTCCAATGCGGTTCTCGAGCCCAATTAACCCTTCCCGAATCCCCAACTCAGTCTATGCCTTGCAAAACCCCGGCAGCAATGGCTTTAGTCACTGAATTTTCCGATTTCAGTGTCCTGGAAGAAGAGGACAAGTATCAAAGGGATACACTTACAAGTTTAGGATTCCTCGTTGGCTGCTTACGGACGTTTTCTTTTTCTAGTAACGACGAACTTTGCTGATCACCTGAAAAACTTGTTAAATACGTCGAACAAAGCAGTGTATTAATTAAAGGGCCCTACATCACTCTATGATAGGAATATTGTGTGGTTGAATTGATTTTTGTGGCTATTGATTACCGTAAACAGTAGTTCCTCGTTAGTAAACTTTTCTCTCCTAGTTATCAGTTGTCTTTTCTCTTGATTTTCTTTAGTTACCTTCCACTTTCGACTCGGTTTTGTCTGCCTTGTTCTTCATTTTAAAACTGAGCTACTCCTTCTTTCAACGTTAGAATAATGCAGTACGCGTTTTCAAAGTGCGCGCGCGAGCTGCAAACGACGACAACGCCCGCGCGCAAAGCTGGTACAAGGTAAGTATATATAACGGCAGAATTTTAACACGCACTTCTCCACGGCATTTCCCACACCATCCTTGGTTGCTCAGTGTTCACGTTCGACCAAAACCCTCCCGCCTTCGTTTTATTCGTTCGCTTCTTTGAGTGTAGTAAACGTGTGGACGTTGTTCCATAATCTACTTGGGACTTGGTGTTCATAGGAGAAAACTAACAAGCAGCTCTACTATTACACAATAATGGTGGGTTCATTTTAACTYACAAACACAGCGGAAGGCGCGCGGCGCAATCATAGCGCACGCCGCCCGTTTATCTTGAGAAGTTTGAAAAAACTCAAGCGTTTCAACGAAATGTTTTCACATCAGGAGTTTCCCAGTGAGATCATCTTAAATTAATACAGATCACTAACCAAGACTTTATTCGAAACGTAACACCTTTATTTAAAAGTTTGCAAATTAACACTACAAAACAATGTTTCACCTGATCCGGGATACGACGCTTCTCTTCTTCGTCTACACTTTTTAACTTATAAATAATATACCCAAGACAGTATACAACCTTTAAGAGCGCTACAAGCTTTAGTAATAAATAAAGTGACTAGCTATAGCTTGAGAAGTGGTGAGAAGCACTCCGCGCTACACGTGCTGCTTCTCCTCACTTCTTGCCCACGTGCTTTTCAACTTTTAAAACCGCACCCGCGCTCGGTGTGTGCAATGAATAAAGTCGTAGAGACAGACCATTCTAAGAGACGGACCATTAGATCATTTGGGGAGGGAATGCTTAAATCCCCCCCCCCCCCCCCCCCCCCCACCCCCCCACAAACAAAAAAATAATTCTTAACACCCCCCTTAAAGTCATGCAAAAAACATACGATCCCTCCTAAGCAAGGCTTGTAGCTTCTTCCCAAATTTCCCCCCCCCCCCCCCCAAAATCGAAGCACTTCAACTACGAAAAAAATATCGCGCAACCTCTCCTTTCAGTAAGGAAATATCGAGCAAACAAAAAAAGATATAACAATAAAAAGCAAACAATAAAATTATGCAACAAATTCCTGCAATATCCCCATCAATAGTTCCTTTGCAGTTAACGGTCACGAAATGCAGTTTTATTACGATCTCTCGAAACAGGTTGTATAAAGTTTGTTTGCTCACCAGTATATTTCACCCATGGGAATCAAGATGTTCATTCATTTGCTCTAAGTGAATTAATCAGCACGTGATTACTGAGCTGCGAAGGGCCTATTATTTAGTGTTCCATCTATTAACTATCACTACTCGATGCTTGTTCTAGAGTGATTCTTGTGTGCGAAACGAAGTCACAAGTGTCCATAATGTACCCTCAAAATGATCTTTAAATTAAATTACAAGCATCTCGTTCTCAATCAGTCCACTTCCGGCTTTCTTAGTGCAAGTCATATGCAAGTAAAACCTTGGTGCCACCCTTCTAAGTGTCCCTTTCTTCATATTTATACTAGGATTGCCCTAGATAATTTCAATCTGTGTCCTAGAGGCCAATATTTGAATTCATTTCAATATTTTGATAACCTTTTCTAATCGAAAATGGAGTTGTACATTTTCCCTCATGCAAACCTTCACACATTTAGCGTTAATTCTCACCATGCACGAGACCTGTAAAGAAATTATTCCATACCGCTGTCACCACCAAATGGTGCGGTTCTGTGGTTAGAAAGGCTCTAATAACTTTACAAAGTAAACCCGCGTTCTTCCCTTTAGTTTCAGGCCGTTTTGAAATTTATTTGTGGTCAAAAAGCAGCTTGAATAGGAATACACTTGAACCACAAAATGGTGAAAAGCTTTGGTGCTTTTCAACATCTTCCAGTGAAGTACTTTGACGATACGGCGTCCAACTCAGGGGGGCAAAACAAAACAAAGATGACGGCAACTACATAGAGTTGCGTGTGCTTGTCTTTCTTTTATGGGTAAAGGTGATTTCGTTGTATTCTCTTGTGGTGAGCTGTTAATATAGCAATCGACGTCATTACTGCAACAAAGCTTTATTTATTTCCTGGACGCCACATAATGTCTTGTGTTCCAAGATGACTGCCGTACCGTCGAAGTAGTCCATTACGACCGTGAAACCAATAACATTACGTCAAACAATAATAGACAGAAAACTATGGAAAAATACTTGTCATACTTGCCTTTTAGAGCAGATTTCGTATACACTCAATTGCAAAATCATTGTCTACGGTTCAAAACCACAGATCCAGAGACCGAAGTGGTACTTGGGAAGCACGTTAATTAGATGTATCTAGTGATAAAACTCGTGGAATGTTCATTCATAGACCAGATACGTCGGCCATCTTGAATTCTTTTTTTTTATTGAGACATAATGCGATGCCGAGGGGGCAAATATTGGAAAAATTATATACTGTACAGCTGGCAGAGCTTATTTCAAAATTTATATAAATTTCCTCTTTAAATATTTGAACAATATTTGAAACACCAGTAATGAGGTCTATCGTTGCACTGAAAAAGAGCATGGAAGCTTTTAACACATTTTATATCGATTCTCAAATGAATACATGAGGATAATTATGTCATTCCCTAGAATACTATTTGGTCTCAGCATGTCTGTTTTGAACCCACAATGATTTTGCACGGCAATCGAATGTATGTGAAACATCACAGCACATGGCAGGATACAGAAAAAGTCCTTATCAACCAGTGACTGGTAATCCAATCAGAATGCTGGGTCACTCTGCTGTCATGGTTAAGGCACGACCATACCGTACGTTTCACAGTTTAACAAAAATCTGCTCCACTCTGGAAACATTACCTGTATTCAGCACACTCAGCTGTTGTTTCGTCAGGTCTCATGTACTTAGATGATAGTTTGACGTGTGCGTCAAACAAGGCTGCCCAACAGGACCGTGTTACCAAAAGCTTCTCAAGTTTATCTTTATATTATAAATATTAAGTTATTATTATTATCAATATTTTAGACTATTCTTCCGCTTCAAACAAATAATTTAGTAAGTTATGTTTGTAGTTTGATTAGTTAGCGTTATTGAATATTTTAATGTTATGGAGTGTTTTTAATTTCTGATATTCGAGTTACTGGGAAACCACGTCAGGCGAAAGATCTAGAGGAGGCAAAACCGGTATTGCACGGGATAAGCTGCACCTTTTAGTGTGGGATTGAGATTTTCCAAAATTTAGGCTGGGAGAAAATTCTACGACCTTGAATTAATGCCAAATTTCGAAGAAAAAGTTTCGGGACCCCGAGAATCAAAACAATTAAACCACGTATGAAAATCGACAGGTTTAAAATTTGGAGGAAGCACGGAAAACACGAAGCGCATAAGGAGAGAGACGTACTAGATATTACCTCTGGTACAACGATGACCGTATCTTCAGTCTTCTCTCTTCACAATCTTCTATCTTCTTATAACACGTTTTCTTTATCTTCTTTTTTTCACTTTGAAGGTTTAGTCAAAATAATTCGACTTTCAGAAGAACTTGCGTCTTAATTTGGGCCGGTTTTGCATGCCACTTTCTTCATGAATAGTGATTAAGAAGATGGGTATTTTCAAATCTTCAGACCACAAAACGGAAGGTCTTCATACTTGTTTTTAGTTTAACAATTTTTATCTTCTTTCTTGAAATACTTGATTAAACCCATTCTTCAACTATTCTTCATATTCTTCACTTTATTATCTTCATATTTTGCATTATACCTGTATGCAAAAGCGAAAAAGAGGTAAAACTATTAACTAGATTCAGAACTACTTCCCCAGTTTCAAAAGTTATTTTCAAGTTGATCCTTAGGCAAATCAAAATTAAGTACACTACTAAGGTCTGCTTACACAGGTATTGAAATAAAAAGAAATGGATGGAACGGATGGATGGAACCAGAAATGAAACGGACTGGACGGCCTATCTCTAATTGTTTTTTGGGGCAGTTAATTTGTTTTAAAGGTTATACATATTCTAATCGACAAGCTTAACCAAAACGCAATATTGTAGACTTACTAAAATTAGCATTCTTAAAAATTAAATCAACGGTGAGCCAAACTTTTTAGTTTTGTCAATAACTGTGCCAAAGCTACAGTTGATAGTCCTAATCTATCTAGAGCAAAGAAGACCACTTTACTGTCTAACAGCTGCAATCACTCAGTAGCGTCCTGAAAAACGAAAGAAAAAGTGCTTGTTCAAATCAAAATAACTATAAATGAGATATGCTGGGAAGTTAAGTGATTTCACAAGTGCAGCAACTCTTACAAACGAACCATACTGTATAATACAACACTACAAATCTGCCATTTGAAAATGGTTTAATGTGCAGAATGTGTATGCTTGGTAATTTACATGTAGATAATACTCAGCTTTTTCTGACTTCAAAACTGTTAGATTTATAGCTCATAAAAACATAAATATCTCAAAAATAGGCTTCAGTATAAATACAAGTGTACTAAAGTCTGAGCAGATCCAAGTACAACTGAATCTATTCCAAAAGAATCAAGATAATGAATCAGCTTGTGCAGCTATAGAGCTTCATGGTGGAATGTCATACAAAGAACTTCCACACTTTACTCCTCCATAAAGTAGTACTAGTTTTTACACAAAAGCATGAAATTATACCGACATAAAATCAATCAGATAGGAGTCAAATTTTCTATAACCACTTACTTGGAGAGTATGAACGAGATCTTGAACGATATCTTTTCTCATAGCGATCGCTGCTGCGCTCACGATAGTAGTCGTCACGGTCCCTGTAGTCATCTCTGTAGTCATCTCGCCTACGTTTGTAATCACGATGCCTTTGGAAGAAATCAATGAAATAATGCAATAAATTAATGATCACATGTTGTTGATAGAGCAATGACCTTACAACTTACTGTGATGGTTTTCCCATGTAGATTCCTGGTGTAGGAGTATGTGCTCTCTTGGTGATAGAGAAATCCACTCTTATCCTCCTGCCATCAAGTTCAATGCCAGATGTTCTTTCCTTAGCCTAAAATAAATTGGAATAAAATCCGCCTTCAAAAAACTGTAACAGGATTTTATTGAGGAAGGCTTAAAAAAGAAAACTACATTTAATTAAGTCTGCTTCTACTGTAGTTCTTTCAATCATATGGTAGCTGATCTGCTAGTAAGACATAATTTACTCCCTCTTGTAAGGAATCTTAAAAAACTTACCATTTCTGCATCTTCTGTATACTCATAGTAGACAAATCCAAAACCTCTTGAGCGACCAGTCTATAAAAAATAAGTTTTTAAAAAATAATGAATATCAAATATTGTCAAACTATTGGTCTGGCATCTACAAGCTTACTGTATTTGTCAACTTCATAAGTTGAGAGGGCTTGAAGATTTGACTTTAGCCTTAAATTAAAAAATCTCCTTCTTTTCCTAAATGTAATCCTTTTTGAAATGTTTTTCATTGCTTTGACCCTCAGGTTGGTATTTAATTCAAGAGATGTACAGTTTTAACTAATAATGTATGTATACTTCTCACACTCATTAATAATTCATGAGGTCAATGACCAATGGCGATACTTGATCAAAAATGGATCAAGACGCTGATCAAAACACTGACGAATAAACGAATAATTTCGAAGGAATTAAGGAGTTTGAGAAGTCAGTTCAAAAACTCGTGCTTTGTGTTTGATCAGGGCATCCAAACACCTCAAAACAATAAAAGCACTCGGCCTACAGCCTCGTGCTTTCATCTGGTTCTTTGTGTTTGGATGCCCTGATCAAACACTCGCACTCGTTTTTGATCTATTACTTCAAATACTTAAAACTAAAAAATGAGGATGTCTCAGACTAAAATGTTATTAAATATTGGACTTTTGGTTTCGAAACTTAAACATTTGTCAGCTTAAGAAATGAAATAATGGTGTTCAGATTTATATAGTAGAGTTATGCTTTGTGATTACTGACTAATATATAATTAATGCTATTTAATATGTTCACATACTTTATTGTCTGTTACTTTACCTGGTGATCATACACAATGTTTATGTCTTCTATTGGTCCATACTTTTCAAATATTGGCTTCAAATCTCTCTCTGTAGTGTAAAGACTCAGGCCAAAAATACCAAGACACCTGCTAGGCTGTGGTTCTTCCTGTAACATAAGGCAATCTATGGTTACCAAAAATGTTCAGTTAATAGAACAACGTCAACTAGACATCAACTAGCATGCTCTCTTTCAGTTGGGTGTTTTGATTTTCTAGACTCCTTGCAGCAAGTTGGAATGCAGCTCAATTTAGAGGACGTTTCCAATTCTCATGGCATTGAATTCCTTTTGTTTTGTCCTCCAAATTAAGCAGCTTTGATGTCACATACAAAGGGTCTATTTTTGCTTTTTTTTCTGCCTAGGATATACTACTTTGACAATGTGATGGCGAAATTTATTGTCAATAAGAGGACAGACACATAAAAATCTGATGTCAATTTGTTAAAATGACAAAACATTTCCAATTACAATTTGATGTAAAACTATAGATGATACACAACAATCCAAGTAATGACATAAATAGTGTTCCTACCCTGTTTCCTTGATGCCTTTTTCTGTCTGACAAAGGTGATCTTGAATGGTCCCTATATGAAACAAGACAGATCAGCTAAGATATACATACATATAGCTTCAAAGTTTCCCATCTTGACTTAATAAATTTGTTAGGCAGTCATTGAATGCAACACAATCTTTTTCATTGTTATTATCACTAAAACGTCTAAAGAATATCAAAATACCTTCTCTTGTAATAAGGGCTTGGTGAGCGAGAACGTGAGTAAGATCTGTAACGCTTCCTCTCTCTTGACCTTGAACTCTTCGTATGGCTGTGAGAACGAGACCTGGAGCGACTTCTGGAGTAAGATCTAGAATGCTTTGATCTGGAGCGTGAGCGTGACCTGGAGGAGCGCCTGGAAGAGCCGGACCTGGATCTAGACCTTGATCGTGAAGCAGATCGAGACCTTGAATGCTCTTCACTTTTGGCTGGACTCTCTTCCTGGAATTATTAATAGCAGTTTTCAATATTAGATGAACTCAGTAGTTGCTAGCTGCCCATACTCCGTAATCTTTTGCCTCTGTCAATCAAATATAATCCTCCCTATCTTTTACATATGTATATATATGACTAGACAACTTGCAAATACCAAGTTTAAATCAAGAAGCACAGGTGGGGTAGCAATGAGAACGCTCGCATCTCAAAAATGTGTTTGATTCTCGGACTTGTCGTAGAGTTGAGTTGTTTGTTGGTTCTCTCCTGTGCTTCGAGGGTTTTTCTCCAGGTTCTCCAGTTTTCCTCCCTTTACAAAAATCAACTTCTAAATTCTTATTCAATCTAAAAAGGACCAGGATGAAAATTACTCTGTGTAAATCTAGTTACCCTTGCAAAATTGTGTAGTTTTACATTACAATCATATATTATTAAACTATAAATTTTATAAACTTTTATTTTACGATCACTACTCATAAGGGACTCTTCCCTGAATTGGCTCTACACTCACTACCACTACATGTTTAGTTGAGTTTTATGGAGAAAAACTAGACAATAACCCTGATGTCAAGGGAGAGAGCAATACATTGAACAAACTCACACACTTATGTAGCTCAGCCAGGACTTGAATCCATGACCCCAAGCATGAAAAATTGGCTATAAAAGAGAGCACCATAACAGTGTATGCCACCCACATTGAATTTTAAATGGTCATTTCAGTTTTTACCAATGTTATTCTTATTATTGAGGCCTAGATCATGTTGCATCTTAATGTACTGAATGTATGGTTCAGCTGTTTAATAATTTTAAGATTCTCTTAAAAAAACCCAACAAGTATGAACACATATAATGTTTTTGCATACTTCTATGTGCATAGATATGCATGGGCTTTTTTCCTGCCAAACAAGCGTTTGCACACGTTATTTGGTAAACCAGCCAGCTTCGCATCAAAATGTGTCAGTTTAACGCACAGAACCTGTGCATACACCTTGCGCTATATGATACGCCATAGGCTGAGTTTGTTGAATGCACTACTTTCTATGCCATTGGGGTTTTCCTTCCTCAGTAAAGATCAAACTATGCTAGTGATAAAAGCTTTATGCATAGGAAACATCTGGAATAATAGTTTGCGAGAGACAGCTGCCCCAATTAGTTGAAAGGTGCGAAATCTAAAAGACAATCGCTGCAAAAATCATTTTATTCAAAGAGCATATCGCAACTGATAAAAGCGAAAGCGAAGCTGAATCAATGTTCTGAAAGCTAATTTCTTTGATTCACTTCAAAATTGATTAAAAAAATTAAAAGTGGCACAGTTACCAAAGAACTAAGAATATTCTTTTAAAGTTTTTAACATAAAGATTTAAGCCAAATGACAAGAAAAGTCAAAACAAAAAGCACGTGAACAAAATGGCGCCCTGTTGTAGCCACCAGCTCTTGGGAAAGAAAGTGAACCTTTTCACAGCTTTTCCAACAAATCTAGGGATACAAAAAACATAAAGTGGTTCCTTACCCTTTCGTCGGCAGCGCTGTGATGGTTTGAATCACTCATGTTGGTTTGAGACGCGTCTAAAGACCTTCCTTATCACAAACAACGACACTATTCACTTTGTTATCTTCTCCTCGACGAAACGAAGCCTTCCCAAGGTGCACTACGACTATTAACAACCCTCCTCCAAACCACATGCAACACAGGGAGCCCGTCTATTAAACTAGCCTGCGTGCGTCCCTCTAAATCTTTTTTTTTTTTTTTTGCGAGGCTAGGAGTGGGGAGCAGGCTAATCAAAAACTTACATTTTTTAACGTCTATATGCAGATCAAATATGACTTCAAGAAATTGGTTGTTTCCTAGAAAGTCCATATCTGGCTTTAAATATATTCCATGCTTTTCCAACTCAAGGTGGAGGAGGGAAATAGGAGCGCTGATTAATATCTAATAAATATACAATATTTAATACAGGTTTAGATCATTATTTGTTTCTCATTCTTTATTTATCATTTGATCTTATCCATATTCTGTTTATATATCCTATTACCCTAGGCACAAGGTCTCACTATTTTTCAAATTAATCTAGTTTACCACTCTTGTTGTTCGAGTAAATATGAAATTTCCTAAATAGAGATTAATTATTAAAATATTCATAGATACGTACTGCATGTTTAGTTCGTTACTTTACTGCCACGTTCGTCTTGTCAAAACAATCATGCTTGCATGGGGAGTTCTTTTAAAGTGCAAACGTTGACCTCTTTTACAGCCATTCTCAATCACACGCGCCGCTCCAGCTATTGTTTGTTGCGACGAAGAAGCTTTTGGTGGACGTCAGTCAAGGTGTTTCCATGACATTCTATAAGCACGTGCCCTTATAGCTTTGTGTTTTCCGACAATGTCATGGAAACGCCACCTTCTTCGTTGCGATCGATAGAGGGCACGTGTGATTGAGAATGGCTGTAAATTCGATAAAGATGCATTCTGGTGTAGGTGGGTGGGAAACATATGGTACTAACGCACAGCAGGCGCAACTAGCCGCAACATTGAAATGGTTTCCCATTGTCTTCCGGTAGTTCATCCAATCACAATGGGTAGTCACGGTTACGGTAAGATACGGTACGGCTACAGCACAACTACGACTCTGCCGTAAATTACCCCACTTACACGAAAACCACCCTATGACAAAAAGGTTTTTGTACCCGAGCCTGCGCTACAGACAAACGCAACTCTAGTTGAGACTAGAGTTGAGATCGTATGTAACGCTCGGTACATACTACCCCAGCTAGACCACAATGCACCTTGTTATATCATCAGAAAATGCCTATTTTTACTGCTTCATTTTCATTTTTTTWAAATTACGAATACAATGTCATTGGTTGAATGGTGTTTGTTCAGTAAAAGCGCCATTCTTCAGTGATGGAAGAGCTACTTCCTGGATTGTAGAGGCATCTGGATCCTTGTAGCAATAATAGTGCTTGATCTCACCACTTGGATAATAAGCAAAGGCACTGTAAAGACAGAAAAAGTTTGCTTCAAGTTAATTATGACATTGCAGTTAAGAGTGTTTGCCAAAGCCCTATTTTGGTCTTTCAATTTCAGGAATGAAAAAATTCATAGTTGATTGAAAACCATTAATTTAAGTATCGAACTTTAAAACAGTCTTTTGGCTGTTCCAAGTCACAGCACGACGAAGTGGAATTGGAATTGAGCTTTTCAGTTTTGACGAAAAATTCCAAAACAGGCCGAATGTTCCCAAAAAGTGGTCATTACATCCTTTGCGAGCAAACTGAGTCACAAACAGACAAGACATTTCTTAAGCCCGAAAACTGGAAAATGATAATTCCCCCAACAAATGTCCATCGAAGATTTCCATTTTTGAAAGGTTTGAACAAAAACTTTCTTTTTTGAGACCAAAAATCTACTGAAACCCAGTTTGAACAGATGTCCAATATGATGTTTAGCTTACCTATTGCCTATTCTCTTGTGACATTCTCGACACACCCTCTCCTCTGTTATGATAATTTTCCGCGCCTGGTAAAACATACGTTGCTCCTGGATCTGAAACAATCGATGCAACGATAATTACGAGAATTTTACAACGATTACAAGGACTTCTGCCTATTACTCTTTTTTAAAAAGTCGTACTACAAGTTAATGAGAAAAGGAGAGAGTAGACAAAGCTACGTGCAATTCCTTTCTAGCCTCCCAAGAGATCTGTCCGCATAGAACTTTTCTGAGATTGCAAACATAGTGCAATGTGGTCTTAATTCAGTACAAACATTTTTTTTCGTTCACGCCATATATGGCGTGTTCATGCATTCAAGCTAGACCACAATGCATCATGTTTGTCAAAATTAAAAATCTACTTACTTTCTATAACGATACTCCGTGTTTAGCAAAACCGTGATGTTAATATGCCAACCATCTTCAAAAAAGCTCATCACAAGTTGCTTTGCATCACCAGCCAATCGATCCGATGTCACATGAAGTCCCGGGGGAAGGACTTCTATATAAAGAAGGGCGGGGATGCTCGTCGGAAATTTTGAAAATGACCCTTAAGAGGTACAAGAGTCCTGCTAAGTGACAGAAGTCAGATACTGGACCGAAGATAAATATCCTGAATCAAAACCGCCATTCTGACTGTCATCATATAATCTCAGGTATCTTATTACCTCTGGCAGTCTTTTAAGATTTGTGACGCCCTAAGAGGTACCAAATTGCTCGAACGGGTACGACGAGCATCCCTGCCCTTCTATATATAGGAGTCCCCCCAACTCCGAGCATGAAGTATCGCTATACTGTTCCATATGGCTAAATGGCCACCATAAGGATCATAGAGTACAATAACGTTTTAATTTCGCACCTGTAAATGTTCCGCATAAAGCAAGCTTCTGAGAACTTGACTTCGTTTTCTTTTAATTTCTTTGCCCTTCAAGACGTCCATTAAAAATTCATAGACCTCCCTTACTTCAATATTGGATGGAAGCAGCTCTAAAGCCTGTTGAAAGTAAGGCATATATTAAGATATGGTGTATACCTTATATGCAATGATCAGAGTGACTCAGGTATAGAGCGTTTTCACGTGACGTCACAGCGGCCATGTTGGTGCTCCAGAACAATACATTTTCTATCCTCGGGGGATTAAACTCTATTTTTTTGCAAAAACTGTTTATAGAGTTTCTACTGTTTGGTAAAAAGGTCTTTGTCGATAAACCCTCACAACAAACAGCACTAAGAACTTTAGACACTTTACCTTAGCAGTACTTATTTTCTGGTGATGCTCCTTCAGCACATTCAAAGCCGCTGGGATGTTTGGTTTGACAGGAGTATCTCTGACATCAGCCGGTTCCAGGTATAATCTAAGTAACGATACATACACCTAGGGATAAATAAGGTTTACTGTCAATAATGGCTAGTTATACTAGTAGTAACAAAATAGGGAAAATTTCTGTTTGTTTGCTGTGTCACTATGTCATGAAACTAATGCAACTTTCAATGTATGACACGAACAATGCCTTTGCATGATTGCATTAAGACTATATTTCCGAAGGAGAATATTTCTAATGTTTGTCCTCCAACGTAATGTCTCTCTACAGCAGCACGTCTTTTCAACTTTTACTCTGATGAAGGACTGACGTCCGAAACGTTGCCATCGTTTTTACACGGTTTTTAAGTCTCCTACTTATTCACTTGTTGAATGAAACACACCCACGCAGTCCCAACTAGTAACCGCTAGTCATTATCACATGCGGGCGGCCATGTTAGATAGCAAAACAAGAGAATCCTCCGGAGTAAATTTATTCTTTTTTCATGTAAAACAGTTTCATTGTTCCTGCCGCCATCCAGCATGGGTGCCGTCATGTGATCACGAAAATCCTCTATTTACAGCAGTTTTCGCATTACTATGAAAAAGCTCAGTGCCGTAAACGTGCCGTGCCCGTGATGTTTTCTAGAAATTTAATTGGCTTAATTTCCTCGCGCAATGTGTGATGGGTCTGACGGGTGCCATGACCTTGGCGTGACCGTGTCAGCGCAGTGTTTATGCCGTATTCTGGTATTTGATTGGATGGAGAGTAAATGATTGGTCTGGCGTATCCCTTGCCGTGTCACGACCGCGTTCATGCCGTGTGCTTTTCACAGTCATACGGAAACTGCTCTACTGATTGCAGTAAAAATGCTATAGCACCATAAACCCCCCACTGACGTAAAATTTATTTTATCACTAGATACTTACATCACTGCTTCCTTCTCGTTCTTCGGAGTAAGTCCGCAGACAGTACCTGGAACAAGATTAACCACTCCATGTTATCCATGTCATCAAGAAATAAAATATAGACGATAGATCTCTTTAGCTTGGGCGTAATGTTTTCCTATTTCAGACCACGTGTCGTTCTTTTGAGAATAAGATTCTTTGTTTGAGTTATATCCATATTCATTTGTCTTCTCGTGCGCAACCGTGAATCAAAGAAATTATACTCTAGGGAATGACACGTGGTCTGAAATGGAAAATCATTACGCCTAAGGTAAAGAGTTCTATTCAGAGAATTAGCAAAAAGAAATGCTTGCTTACTCTTCAGCCAATTTTGGATCATTTAAAATATGAATGTAGATAGAAAGGGCTTCCTCGTGACGTCCAACGCGACCGAGCAGCAGAGCACGTTCGTAGTAAAATGCTGTTAAAAGATGAAATAATATGATAAATATTAAACAAACGTTGAAGATTTAGGATTAACAATGGAACAGGCATATAGAAGATGAATTCGAAGAAAATTCCTCGTTGTTGCATGGCATCGTTTTATAGCAAACATAGTGCATTGTGCTCTAGCTTTGGTACGAGCATCTCTAGCTTACACATCATGCATTATATGGTGTTCCTGTACTAAGAAAACATTCAACGCAAGTCGATATACCTCTTTTTCTTGGTCATAATGTTTTCCCATTTCAGACCACGTATCATTTCCAAGAGTATCATTTCTTTGTTTAAGGATCCCACATGAGAAGATACATGAATATGGATACAACTTAAACGAAGAATCTTATTGTCATGTAGACTGAAAATGGGAAACCATAACGAGGTATAAATACCATCGACTGTCTCTCGTTTTCTCACTGGACTCTGAAGATGACTTCCGCTCAGGTTGTCGAAACGTCAGTCACCACCAACAACAGTCTTTCTCAAGACTACACTCACCCGGACGATCACATTTCACAACAAATTACGAGGTCTATGGCAGAATGATGCCTTTTTTTTCTTTTTCCCGTTTTCATTTTGTTCTTTTTATCCTTTATTTGGATATTACGAATCACTTCTTGGTTTCTTATACAACCAGCAAGTGAATTAAGAATTGTAATGTTCTATACGTACATTCCTGGAAATGAGTAAGCAAGGTTTCTGCCTGGTAGTGTTTTGATGTTTCAAGAAGGAAGAGTAACCGTCCACGTAGTTCACCCAGCTCTCCTGGCTCGCTGCCAGGGGGTACAGGCTTCTCTCCTGCAAAAAAGAAAAAGAAAAGAAAAATAAGGTGTTTGTTTCTTGAAGTTTTTCAAATAAAATTGAAGACTAGTATACTCGACGTTTCGACGCCCTCCGGGAAAATGATTCTTTATGTATTCAAATTATTACTTTGATTTACTTTCACTCTTGAAAATATACTAGTCTTCAATTTCATTTGAAAAAAATAATAATAATAATAACGATGAGAGTAAGTAACTTTATGTGCTAGCAGGGATCGATATACCCAGGAAGGGATTCTAGAGGGGTCCCACTTTTTTGAGCTCCTAATTTGAATGGCTGTATAACTGACTTGAGTCACTGTCTTATCAACCATAGATTTAATACATATGTTCCGAGCTTTCGGCCTACTCGGCCATCCTCAGGGAAATGAAAAACGTTGCATATTGACAAAGAAAAACGCGATCAAACCATGGCATTTAGGTATTTCAAGTATCGATCTCCTAACGGTAAGGTATTTCAAGTATCGATCTCCTAACGGTTAGGTATTTCAAGTA